GCAGTGGCCATCTTGCCCCTATTTATAGTATCGGTTCCCCTTTAAGAACAAAAAATCTCTATAGCAAGTTCCAGATTGAATACTGGAGGTATATCCATCCACTTTTGTTTTCCTTTCAATTTTACATCTATTTAAACTACATTGTATATATTTATCTCATTCTGAGATATATAATAGGCTTACAAATACTAGTACTGATGTTTTCCACTAAAGCAAATTTGGCAGAGAAAAATTGTAATTTCAGTGTGTATTTGCATGAAATTAAAAGAACTGTTTCCCGATTGTCAAATTCCACTTGTACATGTAGACTTAAGCTCCTCAAATATATAGAGCAAACCCTGAATGGTACTGTCCTGTCTTGGGCTTTTTTTTAGCTCCGCTGTCGACTTTGTCGAGCGAAGCTTATCATATGAGTGATTGTCCGGCGTCTGTCGTCCTGCGTCCGTCATGTCAATGTTTTACTTATTCGACTTCTTCTTGAAAACTACAAGCCTGAATGCTTTGATACTTAGTGTATATGTACCTTGGATAGACCTCTCTCTGATTTGTTCATTTCATGATCATATCTTCAGTTCTCTAATTTTGGTGAATATTTTGTCATTTTTGGTAAAAAGTGATATTTTCGACTTCTTGTTAAAAACCGCAAGTCCAATTGCTTTGATATTACATATATAGGTACTACATGTGGACCTTTCTCAGATTTGTTCATTTCATGATCATATCTTCAGTTCTCTAATTTTGGTGAATATTTTGTCAATTTTGGTAAAAAGTGATATTTTCGACTTCTTGTTAAAAACCGCAAGTTCAATTGCTTTGATATTACATATATAGGTACTACATGTGGACCTCTCTCATATTTGTTCATTTCATGACGATATCTTCAATTTTCTAATTTTGGTGAATATTTTTGTCATTTTTAGTAAAAAGTGATATTTTCTTGTTAAAAACCACAATCATTTATGGTGAAAATGATATTTTTGAATTCTTGTTGAAAACAGCAAGTCCCATTGCATTGATACTATGCATATTGTTCATTTTCTAATGATATCTTCTGTTCCTTAATTGAAATGTGCATTACTTACAGCGGAGCTACATGTATCTCAGCCGAGAGGCTGCTTGTTATAGATTTGGAACATTGTTACATTACCATCACTAGTACAACATTTATTCGATAATAAAAATAATAATATTAAGACTTTGCAATTCCAGGCCATACATGTACATGTAGTGAAAAAATATAGCTGCAAAAATTAGATGGTCCAATTATTAAATAGAAGTAGTCCCTACTTTAAATGTTAGGACTTTGTTTTTACACAATCTGTTGGCTTTACTAACAAAAACAATTCTATCGTCATGGTAAATTATGGTATCAGGGATTTGTACAACTGGGAATTTTTCCCCTGGAATTTTTTCTGCTGGGATTTTTTCCTACATCCTGCATGTGTTGGGATCATTTTACTAGTCTCGATGAGTGATATTATTCTCTATTAAAGATTACAGACATTACATCATGTACTTTGTCTGTGTATGGTCTTTATTTAGTATAACTAATAATCCAGGGTTCAATTGGTATCAAAAGCTGTCATGACTGGTCAATGTAATTATATATAGGTGGTTTTATAAGTCAAGCAACAGGCATCTCTGATCTCTGATGTCTGAAATCATTATTCAAGTTATTCTCAGTCTGTCAACACTTTAAGGCAAAAAGCTGAGATAGATGTAATGCAGTCACTCCAGTTGACCGATGCCCAAGTTGTCAACAATACATTGAAAATCACATCTCGTTTGATATGCTGGGAATAGTATCGCTTTCAAAGAGTTTGCTTCCTGTGAAATCTTTATCATATTTATCACTTCACATGGTTATAAAAAGCTGTATAATATTTTAAGTTTTTGGTAACACTTGTGAAACTTTGTTTAAATTTCAGATTTGAAGCAATTCTTACTTTTCTAAGCCAACACAAAATTTAGCTATGGTATTTACAGGTAAACAAATATGTGTTCAACATATACAAGCCTCACATTACTCTGTTTTTAATGCATGTTTAATAATTTACCATAGAAGAAAAGGCCAACATCTACCTGGTTTGTCAATGCAATGTTTAATAGACAAACGTTTTAAAACCCCAAGACATAGCAAATCGATAAGTATCATTGTAATATATTGAAAGATAGTATTGTATTTCATTTTGTTTGTGCATTTGGTTGGAAGAAGATTGTGATTACTACCTTATACTGAAATATATTTGAATATATAATTTAGAGTACCCGGGGGGTAGTATCAAATTCCCACCTCCAGTCCGGTCAGACTTAAAATATACCACAAATATTCACATTTGAGATATAATTTTTGGTATGTTTTGGTTCTTGGATATTTCAGCTTCGTCATCCTGTACTTCGTTTAGTAATTCAGACTTCCCAGATTGAGTAAAAATGGATAGTTTCACAATTTTGACCCGAAAAAAGCCTGGGCTTAATTATTTGCTGAGGGATGTGCACTGTAACTTGCAGCACATGAAGCTTTAGCATTAGGCAATCAAACAAAAAATGACATGGTACTAAAGTACATAAAGTATGTTTTAAGGTCTTCACTTTTTTATAGCATTAAAAAAAGGTTTTCTTTCTTGCTTATTGTGACACCCTCAAAGGCGAGTAATTTCCATTCCCCTCCGGGTAAACAATGGTTTAGTCCCCTTCTTTACACTAGGACTCAAAACAATTTTTTTTTGCTTCATTTTGTAAAACAAAAATTACTGAAAATGAGTGATAGCGTGATACCATACGATTTACCAACAAGCTTTTTAGATTATACATTTTACGATCACTTCTGTAGGTTTGTTTTACTACTACACATACATGCGTTTGCTCATGAATATATATCCGCCACCTGATGCATGTGATAGCTATACAAATGAGATATATCAGGTGGCTGCTGGCTTTGAAGGGACGGAGAAAAAAATTAAACAATGTTTAGAGAATAATTTAAGGATGATGTTGCCCATTATTGATAACAGGATAGGGATGGAAATGTTTGCAATATTGAGTGAGATTCATTTAATGAATATCTCTGTCTGAGCAAGCCCTGTTTTCACGTAACAATAAATCCTATATTAATTCCTGTTCTGATGTTTTCTCTGATGTCCTTGTACCAATTCTTCGGAGACACATTTTTCAGAATTTTTCAAAATCCCCCTCCCCTGAGTTTCTAATTAATGTCAACTATTTTTGAGAGAGATTTAAGTAATTCATCAAATATAGAGAGTGAAATTATGGCGCCTGCATAAAAAGCTACCAGGTGTGTGTGTGTATAATCTATATTTAGTACATTCCTGTCATTGTTAATTAATTTACTAATGATTTTTATGAATTACGTTTTTGATGAATAATTAAATCTAATGTAGCTTGTTGTAACATGTTAGTCAGTAAATGTCAGCTTATCAATGTAATGACTTATAAATGAACAAAAAAGTACATGTATACCCAATTTTTCTGTTTGTTTAAAATACAGTTTTTGTTGTTTATGGACTTTGCGTGACTATAAATTCTGTTATATTGCTATTTTGACCTTAATATACCAGTAATTTTTTTACTAATAATTAACAAACCAGTGTGTATAATACAGCATTTGTTCATGTCTACATGTGGTTAATTTCGCTACTTTATAGTATTCAAATTTTCTCATCATTTCCTGTTTCACTCGTTACTAGGTCGAAAGCTGGCATATCAATGTAAAATATACAATGGAGATAATAAGAGTTGGAAATGAGTGATTGCTAACTGGTAATCTCCTCTAAAAATTTACCAAACTAATCATATTTGATGTGTGTCATTGGTGTGTATACAGGTACATGTACATTGTACACTTGTATCCGGCAATATCATTACTCAAGTACCGTATCATCAGCATGTTACGATAAGCAACAACCTCCTACTGAATGTCTTTTGACTGGGAATGTGACAGTTTTTCTAGGTAAAAATAGCCCCAATCAACCAAATGATATATTAATGTGATCACTGAGTGATATATGTACATATACATGTACCTACCTGCCTACCGGTATTTGGAATCTACACACACATATATAACCATGAAGGTTTTTTTTATTGTCAGGGTACATGTATAACATATGTGTGCATGCTACTGGTAGTGCTCAGTGTTACATTGTGTAGCATGTTTATTACATAAATTACAATAGTAATGTATGAGGATTTCACCTTGCAATGATTATACTGACAATTTTAATGTCGTTATTGATATTCTGTTCTTGTTTACTAATCTGCAATATTTACTGTTATCGAGTAACTGAAATAAAGCTAAGAAACATGTATATGAAAATAGTAGTCTGTGTTTGTGTGTCCTTACATAGAGGGCAAATAAGAGCAAAAAAGAGGGCAATGACTGTTTAAAAGCGTATTTCTGTACTGTAGTGTATTATTTATGTATTCATTTGATTCTATCGCATTTGTATAGTCTTACTGGTAATGTTATATGATATTTATTTGTGTAATCTAATACATGCACATTTTCTAATTGTGTACTTGAATGTGGATTCTACTTATTTAAATGCTTTCAACAAGTGTGGGATATACCTAATGGTACCTTAAACTATTCTGATGCATAGGAAATGACTCACTATAGTCGTACCTTGTCTGTCCATCATTCCTCATGTTGTTCCCCTTTTTTCTCCATTTTTCTCTGGAATATTTTTCTAACAAATAAAAATATTGCTGAAGATAATAAAAAACAATGTGTCGAAAACTACATTTAAAATAAAAATAAAGACCTATTTGTGAATGTCAGTTTCAGTAGAACATACTCCTGTGTGTTCACTTCAAACCCACTGTTTAAAATGAGTGCGAGGGCATGGGTTATCGTAAAAAAGTAACTGAAATTCTTTGAAAACACATTTAAATAATTTAAAATATGACTTCGAACATCTTGGATAAATCAATCAATGTATTTTTTTGCATTTATTTTTCTTCTGTTCTTTTTTTTATAGATTTTACAAGGTGGTAGAATGTTCTCATTTATGCATTTGAAGCTAGGAAGATGAGAGGACATGTCATGTTTCGACCAAGAAAGAAGTATATTTTTTTACTATTAGTTTTGATGTTGGTACCTTTGATTATACTTACTTATCTGAGTGTGATGCATGATGGTAAGTGAATAAATGGAGGCCATGATGAATTTATTCTAATTAGATAATTATTGTGACAGCCAAGATGGGTTCATGCAAATTAGATAACTATTGTGGATTCCGCCTATCAGGCCTCGCAAGATCTCGTCGCTGCATTTTTGCAGTGGATTGTTTAATTTTACATCTATATGCTGTGCATGAAGACCATTTATGGATGTACTGTTCTAAATGAATAAATTACAATTACAAAATTATTGTAACTGCCATGATGGATTTATGCAAATTAGATAACTATTGTGACAGCCATGATGGATTTATGCAAATTAGATAACTATTGTGACAGCCATGATGGATTTATGCAAATTAGATAACTATTGTGACAGCCATGATGGATTTATGCAAATTAGGTAACTATTGTAGCAGCCATGATGGATTTATGCAAATTAGATAACTATTGTGACAGCCATGATGGATTTATGCAAATTAGGTAACTATTGTGGCAGCTAAGATGGATTTATTCTAATGAGATATTAAGGTTAATAAAGTAATAAACTGAAAAGTATGTTGGATTCAATAATCAGGTAACTAATTTTGGCAGCTACATGTATGGTAGATATGGTATATTAATTGATTCATGTAGAATACTGTAGCAGTAATTATGCTTTTTTTCAAATGTATTGTGTATTTTAATCACATCTCGCATTAATCCATGTTACACTGTAAAGAACAAAGCCATCAACTTATTTACACAAACTGTGTACTGCACTGCATAGTCAATAGAGAATTCTCAGTCTCCTAGGGTTGAAACATTTTGTGTTTCACAAACGTGAAAACATTCTTAAGTCACACACACTGTATCTGAGATAAATTGCTTCTATTGGCAAGTCTGTATTCCCAACTTTTGAGTTCAGAGATGGTAGTTATTTTGTATATTAATAATTGATAATTTCCATATTAATATATAACAGTTTCTAGTACAATAAATATAATCAGTATTCTATTACCCGGTACTGCCATTGTTTTAGGCTCTCGTGAATTGAAGTCTGAATTGAGACAAAATATACATCAAAGATGACAAATCTGATGTGAATAACATTTTTGAGAACACAGAACACAACAATTCTGTAGTCAATTCAAAGCTACTTACAACATTGTCCCTGATTGGCTACCCTGTCCTAATATGCAATAGTCAGACCAATCAGAGAGTAGCTTGTTTGTTGACAGTTTTTCAGCATATCAAATTCTGCTTTGTTAATATGCTTTGACTCAGCTGCAATTTTGTCAAATTATTAAAATCTGTTTTGTTTCAGATAATTTTAATAGAAATAGTTTAATGGGTTTTAATAATAGAGAAGCAGCATTAGCTGAGAGGGTCCGAGAAGTAGAAGATGAAAACCAGATGCTAAGAAGACAGTTAAGGTAATAATTGTTATCACCAGGACTGTTTGGAGTGTTTAACAGCTGATTGGTTATACTGTGAAGGCAGTATTCACTTGATTTTAATTTAACTATTTTCGCTGATATGTGTAAGTCTACATGTACTAACATTTAAAATAACACGGGAACAGTAAATATGGTTAAATATCAAAATAGTGAAATTAAACACCCGTAACTGTGTTTACTTTTTGAGTAGCTGTGTTGTGTAATATAATCTGTGTATGAATACATGTAAAAGAAGACAAACATTGATATATAGAAATAAATAATAAATGACTACATATACCAGAGCTATTCACTATTCTATTGTCAGTGGTCATTGTCCTCTATGTTCAATATGGAACACATAGCAATGTATACAATGTGTGTAAAATACATTGTTTTTTTACATGAAATTAGAACTTGCGCTGCGCTGCGACCACTACCCTTTAATTGTGTTCATGAGGACAACATTTTGTCAAAGTCGCTTTACAAGATTTTTAGTGAGTTTTTCATTGGAAAAAAATATTTATCTCATGAAATCTGTGATGTTCTTTTTAAGAGCAGTTGTACCATCAAGAGTTGAGTTTAATCATAGTGTTCTACTTCAAAATTATTTTAATTTTTGAATAAAAATAAAAAGTTTGTTTTTCTTATTTTCAGTTTATCACAATATCAATTACAGCAGTCTTACCAGAATAATATTCAGGGCATGGATCCTCGGAATGAAGGAACCGACGACAAAGAAGTAGAAATAGGAATTAATAATGGGACAATAATTTGTACAAATGTTGAAGAGAATGTGCCAAAATGTGAGGTAAGTTGGAAAATGGATGTTGTAGTAATAACCCTTAGAAGTTTTGTTGAGAATGAGAAATCCACAAGACTTATCTCTGCCCCTCAAAAACTGTTCCATTCTCTCCTGTCATCATGTTGACTGTCCCAATTACCATGGTACATACATTGTACCTCAGAAGAGTAGTGTGCATGATGATAGGAGACAATGAAACTTAATTTGATGAACAAAAAAAATAAAAAAATGCACTCTCACTTTCAATGAACTCTCAACAGCCTTATCAATTAAAAGTTCACTTTCATGGCTGATGTGAATGTACTAGTAAACACTGTACAAAATGTTGCTAGATAAATTTGATACATGTATTTAATAATTTGAGAGCATTTGTAATAATTTCACAAACATCAATTTGTCTCTTAGTGACATAATTTTGTATATACATATGATTATACTTCTCATTTGAACCATTGTTTGGGCTGTACATTAATTTCTTTTTTTATGCTGATTGTAAACTGACCACAGTTGTATTCATATGCCAAGTGTACCTGTGCAGATAACTGTACAGTACATAACTTATAAATCAGCATTGTCTTAGCTACATAATTGTAATGTAACTTGTAAACCGCTATAATTGTAAATCAGACCTTACACCTTGGCTAAGACTGTGCAACATCAGTCATTGAGCAACAACAGTAGTTGATGACAGATTGAATTCTTCCTTAGTTATTGAAAAAGTTGGCAAGATGTTTTGAATCGCAACAAAAACCACATCAGGCACTGACTTTAACTTTATCTTTATGTTTTTAATTGTAAACACACTCTGACTTGATTAATGATACATTAATCAAAGCAATGAAATCTTTTTTTATCTTGCAGGTTATACATGTAGCTATAGTGTGTGCAGGTTATAATGCCAGTCGGGAAGTAATAACATTAATAAAATCAGTGCTTTTTTACCGAAAAAATCCCATCCATTTACATTTTTTGGCTGACAAGCCTGGACAGTTAACATTGTCTACTCTGTTTGATACATGGGATATTACAGGGGGTAAGTTTTATTTTTAGCTCCGCTGTCGACTTTGTCGAGCGGAGCTTATCATATGAGTGATTGTCTGTCGTCGTCCGTCACCGCCGTCCGTCGTCCTTGTCAATGTTTTACTTTTTCGACTTCTTCTTGAAAACTACAAGCCTGAATGCTTTGATACTTGGTGTATATGTACCTTGGGTAGACCTCTCTCAGATTTGTTCATTTCATGATGATATCTTCAATTCTCTAATTTTGGTGAATATTTTTGTCATTTTTGGTAAAAAGTGATATTTTCGACTTCTTGTTAAAAACCGCAAGTCCAATTGCTTTGATATTAAATATATAGGTACTATATGTGGACCTCTCTCACATTTGTTCATTTTGTAATGATATCTTCAATTCTCTAATTTTGGTGAATATTTTTGTCATTTTTGGTAAAAAATAATATTTTTGACTTCTTGTTAAAAACCGCAAGTCCAA